GTGCTCGTGCCTGTAAGTACAGCGCGGACATAACGGCACTCAACATGCCCAGTTACCTAGAAATACAACAGAGAACAATGACTTTCAGCTGCAAACACATTTGAAAACAGCCTCCAATACTTCTCTGTACGTGACATAACGGCTGTTTCTAATTAGCGACCAAACCCTGTATCTGCCTGAAGGACATTCTAAACAATGGTTCATCTGCAGCCAGTCCCAAAAACCTATTAAATGTAGGGGTGCTTCTGAAATATTACATTGACCACGAAAACAGCTACAGTAAAAATAAAAATACGGGCATCATCACTGGCATGCCTGCAGAGGCTGTATCAAATTACATGCCAATAAAACAAAGGGAACCGTGAGTTTTACCTGCGAATGCGAAAAATGACTGACCACAATACTCCTGCAGGAGGGATACCTCCTTTACGGAGTAACAACTTCAGCCACAAGCTTACATACTGTTCCCCTCAGGTTGACCTTCAGTGCTGGATGGTTCTGTTCTTCTCGCGGGACGAGAGCAAGGCCAGCAATTTCTGCCATGCATTTCTGGTGCTGGCGGCCCGATCAGGCTATATTATGTACTGTTGTGCCCTACCCCAGGTTGACCTTCAGTGTTGGATGGTCTGGTTCTTTGCGAGGGACGAAAACAAAGCAAACAACTTGTTGCTGGTTTCTGACTAGTGGAAGGGCTACCAGAAGCATGATATAATTTTTCTGTTTTGTGCTCATCCCTCCAGGTTGACCTTCAGTGTTGGATGGTCCAGAATGGCCAATGGTGTCTGCTACCATAAGTTTCTGGTGGCCTGACCTGTGGATATCTTACATACTGTGCTCCTCCTTTTAGGTTGACCTGCAGTGCTGGATGGTTCTGTTCTTCTCGAGAGACGAGAGCAAAGCGAACGACTTCATCACGATGATGAAGAAGGTGTGCCCCTCCCTCGGGATCCGGGTCAACAACCCGCTGCAGTTCCGCCTGGAGAACGACCGAACGGAAACCTACCTGCGCATCATCCGCGATAACCTCAAGCCTCAGGTATGGGGTTTTTACATATTCACAGACCTTTACGTATGCTTAGGTCATGATTGCAAAAGGAACTTTACCTGGTAGTATACGTGGAACCCCCTGACTGCACAGAGACCTCAAGCCACAGGTTTACGGCAACCAAATGAGTTCCATGTATATTACTTGTAAGCACAGTCTTATGCTTAAGGACACGATTCCAAAAAGGGCGTCAACTAATTTACATAGAACCCATTGGGTTGCCGTAATTAAACTGGGAGTTAAAATCCAAAATGATCATGATAATGGGATAACCTACCTGCGCATCATCAGGGATAACCTCAAGCCTCAGGTCTGGTTTGGTTTGGTTTTCCTTAAATGCCCACGATCATGATTATACTAATCATTCTGGCATACTCATTTTCACCTGAGCTAGGTGTGAAAAGTCGTGTAAAGTGCCTTTCCCAAGGACACAAGGTTGGTGACTTGGCAGGATTTGAACCTGGAACCTCTTGGTTTTGAGTCAAATAGTCTACCATTACGCCACACGACCACACACTCGTTTTTGTCAGCAACCATGTTTGGACCAACATTGTAACTACTGTGGGAAGCTGGTGTATTATTAGGGCTATACAGGGCTTGAAGTTAATTTTTTGGAAAACCCTGATGTTGTTCCACAGGTGCAGTTGGTAGTGTGTATATTCCCCACTTCTCGTGACGATCGGTACAGCGCTGTCAAGAAACTCTGCTGTGTGGACTCCCCTGTTCCATCTCAGGTATGTATTACCTTTGCAGAAGGAAAACATATTGTTTTTGCTACGTTTCTTCTTTTCCAAGCATGTCAGGTCAATGACCTGGACCAGATCTCTGTCACCATGGTAACTGGTGCTGTAGCAGACACCCAGTGGTGTTGGGTTAAATTATGTAGTAATAGGCTGAACAGAGTTTGGAGGGGCTGGTCACCATATATATGAATGTGTAAGAATGAACTGAGCAGTAGTTTGTTATTCTAGACCAATTGTGAAGGTAAACATTATGTGTTTGCTTTGCTATTGTCACCTTCCTAGTTGAATCATTGTATGTCACAAATATTTTTATATGCATAATTCACTATATACAAGTCGATCATCTCCTACCGGTATACCAGGATTTCTCTCAATGCATGTAAATGGCAAATTCAAATTTTTCTTGACAATTTTTTTACATTCCTTCTCAGGTTATAAATGCGAAGACCATCTCTATGCAGCAGAAGTTGCGTTCTGTGACACAGAAGATAGCCCTGCAGATCAACGCCAAGCTGGGGGGCGAGCTTTGGGCGCTGGAGATCCCATTGGTCAGGCTTTCCTTTTTTCCCTTACATATTTAGATTCATCAGAGTAGTTTCAAGTATTATGAAGTCCCTCACTATTGCCTTTATTGTCTTAATTTCGATGCCCTTTGGCCCAAAAGGGCATCAAAATTAATCTTATCTTCCAGGCTTGATACAATTACTTTACTTTACTTTACTTTAGGTTTCATACAATGAATACTATAAAGCCAAGGGTGACACAAAATATGAGACAATTTTGGTCATTCTCTGATTGCCACCATATGGAAAGTGTGCCTTAGACATTATTGTAACTGTCTCCCAGTCTAATTTTATTAATGCACAAAAACATTCTTTGTCTCATCAGCTTCATTTGTTAACTTAAGTTTTTTCTGTCATTTGCTTCTCAGAGAACATAGAGATACTTAGGAACAATGTAGTCTGCTTTTTATAAGGTCTAAAATGTGTGTCTGAAATTTTTCTTTCAGAAAAACATCATGGTGATCGGGATTGATGTCTATCACGAAGCGAAGAAGGGGGTGCGGTCTGTGGCTGGATTTGTAGCAAGCACCAACCGGTAAGGCCTGGTTATGTTTATGAAGATGTACCACATTTGTGGAAGTATTGACATAACAGGTGACTATCAAGGATTCAAGATGTCAAATCTGAGACCGGACTGAAAGGTTTGAATCACTCACACCGGGAAGGACCTCTGCTCCTTTCAATAAGTGTGGTGGTATCTTTAATGTGCAGAGCTTTACATCCTATCAGATTGACATCCCTACCTGAAGCTAGGTACTCAATTCTCAGTGTATGATTTGTATATGTTATGTTCCTGTGTGTCATGCAGTGTTTTATTAACGTAGGACCACAGGAAAAATAGCAGCTATGTATGCTGATTGTTGATCCAAATAAACTCAAACTGTTAAAAGTGCTTGAACAACATTCACATTGTTACCCTCTACTCACTTATGTTATGTCAGGCCATTATTTGAGAGTGCTACTTAGATTTTATGTTCACTTGATTCTAATTTTCGTACTTAAAGTTAAACACCTCCAACTCTGTCCTGCCACTTGCTACATAATGTAATCCAACACCACAGGTTGTCTGCTACAGCATCAGTTACCATGGTGACAGATGTCTGGTGTTTGGAGAAGAAGAAGAGACACGGCAAAAACAATATTTTTTCCTTCTGTGAAGTTGAACATAACAAACACGTTGTTCCCCTTCCAGCAAAGCTGCAAAGTGATGGCGTTGTGTACTGTATTATTGCGTTGTTATAGTATTTTGTTTAAACCAATGATACGTCCTTTCTGCAGTGAGCTGACGCGCTGGTACTCGCGGACGTGTTTCCAGCTGCCCGGCCAGGAGCTGATGGACGGCCTGAAACTCTGCCTCACCGCCGCGCTCAAGAAGTACCACGACGTCAACCACGAACTGCCCGAGAGGATCTTCATCTTCAGGGACGGCGTCGGGGATGGGCAGCTCACCACGGTCGCTGGTAGGTTGTTTGTTTGTTTGTTTGTTTGTTTGTTTGTTTGTTTGTTTGAACTGTTCCACACCCTGCCAGAGAGAATCTTCATCCTCAGGGATGGAGATGGACAACTCACCACGGTCGCTGGTACGTTGTTTGTATCTGTATCTATAGCCGATATAACAGCCCTTCAGTGTAACACACCAGCTTCGCAGGCACGCGGTGCGGCTGCAGCTGGCTACATTACACCGAACGACCTGTTACAACTAATCTTTGCACAATTATTGCAGGAGTTGATTAAAGCTTTCTAGTGATGATGCCCCTACTGTGCTTGGTGGCAAGGATTTCCAATCTACAATAGTTCTTGGAAAATTTGAGTTTTGATATGTTTGAATTATTCTTTATTTGTGAGAAGCTTTTAATTTAAAAATTGGCCTGCAGGCTGCTTTTCACTGAGGTCATGAGGGAAGAAGTAAGGGTCAGACAAACCAAAATACAGTTTACATCACTATAACTAAGAAGACTACATCCATGAATTAAAGATTGTTTTGGTACAGGTAGAGGTCTGGACTTGTGCAATTTTTTTAGGTTGAAAGTTAGTAGTAGAGTGTTTAGTTTGTGATTTTCACCCTGTAAGGTGTTAATGCTGGTTTCCCTGTTGTTCACTTTCCCCACCAGGCTATGAGGTTGACCAGTTGCGTGATTGTGCGAGGTACTTCGGTGGGCAAGACTACAAGCCAAAGCTGGCCGTGGTCATCGTACAGAAACGAATCAACACTCGCATCTTTGCTGAATACGTGAGTCCAGTGTAACCTTTTTTGTCAAAGTCCCCTGTAAATGCATGACTGTTTTTCTTACTGTTCGTCTGGTATTTGCACTATGAAACAAATCTTGTATTGATAAAGACATGCAAGGGAGGCCAGAAACCTAATTATTTTTCGTGGGCTTCCACCAGACCCTAAATTATATTAAGAGTTGATATTGACTGTGACATACATACATTATGATAACTTATGAAAGCTGAAGAAAACCAAAATATACATACCTGATGAGTTTTTGTTAATTCTGCTCCTGAACAAGTGTATTGTCACATCAGCTTGTAGGGCTCGAAATACTTTATTTCAGTGTATTAATCAATATCTAAACGCCAAGCCAGGTGATGTGCATAGTCACATATAACTTAGATCAAGTAGTATAAGTTGATTCATTTATAATTATTGTTTTTTTACGTAGGTCAATTTTGTTGTACCCACGATTCTCTGTGTATATTTACATGTAGTTAAGGACCTTACAAAAGTTGCTGTACTTTTGTTGTGTCAATGAAGTTTCTTCTTCTATAACTGATCAATTTTATTTATTCAGAATTGTAACATGACAATACAAAGTGTACACTAGGCAGCAAGCATGCTGATAGCGTGCACACCTAACACATACCTGGATATATGACATAGAAAAACAACAATAAATAGTTAGAACAAGATATATACACAAATAACATTATCTAATAAATTACACCTGCAATTAAAATCAATTTTATAACTGTACAGCAATTGAATGTTTAGTGTGGCTCAGCTGGAAGAGGCACAGAATCTTTTTGATTGGGCAATGAACAATGAGTTCTGATCAATGATTTTCCTGGTTTGAAATCAGAACCGTGGTTCGCTGGACAACCCGAGGCCAGGAACGATCCTGGACCACACGGTGACGCGGCGTGACTGGTACGACTTCTTCCTGATCAGTCAGCACGTGCGGCAGGGCACGGTCAGCCCCACTCACTACATCGTGGTGGCCGACGAGACGGGGCTCAAGCCGGACTACATGCAGAGGTGAGACTTGTACTAATGGTGCTAATGGTGTGGATAGTAGCACATAGCCTCCACCAGGCCTTACTAAGGGTTACAGGTAGTAAAATTTGGCAAAAGTAAGGTCAGCCCCACTCACTACATCGTGGTGGCCGACGAGACGGGGCTCAAGCCTGACTACATGCAGAGGTGAGGGATGGTTCATATATACATGTAGTAGCATCCTAAGGGGTTATGGAAGGCAGTACATACTGTAGCCTGCACCGGGCCTTACTAGGGGGTTACAGATAGTAGAATTTGGCAGAAATAAGGAAAATAATTGGCCCCACTCACTACATCGTGGTGGCCAACGACACGGGGCTCAAGCCTGACTACATGCAGAGGTGAGGGGTGGTTCCTACATATTCTGGCAGTAGCCTCCACCTTTCCTGTATGAATTAAAAATTTTGAGGAGGGAATGTTCGTTATCATGATATGTTCCTAAGGGGTTATGGGGTTATGGATAGTATAATTGGGAGAAAATCTATGGGTGAATAACTGGCCTTGAGAGTGAAAAACCTGCAGAAACAATTACATGCTAGTCTATGGTGACCAACTTTTTGTATACCCTCACAAATACAACAATTTACAGGTAAAGACGGTTAGCTACAGTCATGTACATTTATAGCTTACAGAAGCTTGACAAAACTTGTTCAGGTACAGGATTAGGCCAGTGCCTAAACCCATAGACATGATGTACCTAAAATTGTTCCAGTACACAGCTCTAAATGTCTTCATATTTCTCCTCCAGGCTGTCCTACAAGCTGACCCACCTGTACTACAACTGGCCCGGTACCGTGCGAGTCCCCGCGCCCTGTCAGTACGCACACAAACTGGCCTACCTCGTTGGACAGAGCATCCACAAGGATCCAAGTCTGGACTTGGCTGACAGGCTTTTCTTCCTGTAGGCTCAACACAGAACACAGGCATTACAGCAAGGGCACATTTGCTGTTTGTCGTCATACAATTCTGATGTTGTTTGATTTCGCAGGACACTGTGACTGAAACAATAGCCGATAAGATTCTAAGGCAGCCTTTTTGGTAACGGGAATTTAGCATCATACATCCATGTACATCCACAAGGATCCAAGTCTGGACCTGGCTGATAGGCTGTTCTTCCTGTAGACTCACCACAACACACAGGCGTTATTGTGTGATAGCATTCGTCATAGGTCGTTGTACAATTTTTGTTGAGATTGTGACTGAAACAATCACTAACAAGATTGTAAGGCAGCCTTTTTGGTAACAAGGCAGCTGGATTTGGTACATTTTACACATGGTGTTGCGATTTTGAGGGCATGTAAGTTCCAAGGAGATTGTGACTGAAACAATCGCCTACAAGTTTCTAAGGCAACATTTTTGGCAACTGGGCAGCTGAATTTGGTACATTTTACACATGGGT